TCTCTGCGAGGCGGAGGCAGCTCTTGCGTCCTCCCTCTGCCAGGTCTCTCTCTAATCCCCTCCGCCCCCAGACCTTGGACCGAGCCCCGGCTTGGCCGTGACACGTCCCTGGAGGCTGCCCGGGTGCTGTGGGAGAGCAGCGCTGCCTCCGCTGCTCTGCGAGCCCCGAGGGAGGTGTCGCAAGAGAAGGCAGCACCTGCAGCCAGGGAAGGGCATTTTCACAGCCGCCGCTTCTGCACGGAGCTCCCCGGCTGCGTGCGGCACATTCAGCTCTCCAGTGGGATGCAGGAGAGGCTGGCAGCTTGGCAGCTGAGATTTTTTTTTTTTTTTTTTTTTTTTTTAATTTTTTTTTTTTTTCTTAACGATGAGCTGACAGAACTCCAGGTGGCTCTTTGGCAGTCACGCTTTTCTCCTCACTGGCTGACGCCGACAGCGAGTGACTCAGCCCTTTCCAAGCTCCCTGCAAGCCTCTTCTCCTGCCACTCAAATGTTCTTTCTCTCCCATGGTTAAAGCAAATTCTGCCCCCCAGGTCCTGCCCAGTGAGTGGATCAGGTGGGGCAGCACGGCTCCTTGCTGTGGTCACGGCATGGAGCAGGGATTTGCAGGATTCCCTTTCTGAACTGTCCAGGCTGCTGTGTGAGCGTTTCTCCTTCTCCTCCTTGCTCTGTTTCCCAGGGAAAGCTCCCAGGGCAAAACTCACCCCTGGTGATCTGTGTTCCTGTACCTTTGCCAAGCAGTGCCTAATCCCCCACTTGACTTTTCAGCTATATTTGTTGCAAACATTTTAATTTTCCTTCCAACCCAAGAGTTGCCCTACATTTTCATCCCTACCAGCATGGGAGTTTCCAGATACTGCAGCGCAAGCAGGGCAGCACCTCCCACCCACCTTCCAGTACTCTGTGCCCAGACCCATGGGGTCTGCCAGGTCCTGGGGGGAGGTCAGACCTTTGCCCCTGCACAGCTGATGGTTTAAGCCTTCCTGGGCACAGAGGGAAGTGGGGAGACCCTTTGAGGCAGCAGGATGTCCTCAGGTGGAGGTGTTGTGAAAGGGCTGATCCCAAGCAGGCAGATGGGATCAGAGATGAGAGCTGTGCTGTGCCTGGGAAGAGCCAGTGTTGGCCATGGCAGGCAGCAGCAGTCCAAAATAATCAAAGGAAGGTTTCATCATGGTTCAGAATGTACCAAGGCAGCCCTCAGAAAACATTTTTTAATCAGTCTTATGTGGCTGGTCTGGACTTTACTGAAGACCCTGCAATCTTTGCCTCCTTGCGTTGTGGAGACCTGGCTTGCTGAGGTGGGGTACGAACACAGACAGGGAGAGCTGTGAGCCATGGCTCATCTCCCAAGGCTTTGGGGTCTCCAGCATGGATGTGTCTGTGTGAGCTGAGAGTTCTGGGGGTGCCTCTATGCTGGTGGAGCTCTGAGTGTCCATGACAGTCTCAGATGAGTCCCTCCTGAATCTGTGCTGCTGTCCCTTGACCTCTGATGACTGGAAAGGGAGCCAGGGATGAGCCCAACCTGTGGATGTCCACCTTGAAGTGGGGAGGGGGGCTTGTTTCACTGATTTTGTTGTTGGCAGGACTGCAAGCACTGCAGTCTGTGGCTGTGATGGGCCTCACGAGTACCAGCATCCTCTGAGAATGGTTTAAGGCACTGTGGACCATGGTACCAGTTGGGAAGAGATCAGAGAATTGTAGAATGGTTTGAGTGCGAAGGGATCTTAGAGATATCCAGTTCTACCCCTGCCTCCACCATGGGCAGGGACATTTTCCACCAGACCAGGCTGCTCCAAGCTCCATCCAGCCTAGACTTGAACACTTCCAGGGATGGGGCAGCCACAGATTTCTGGGCTGATTCCTGTGAGTGGCCAACTTAGCCTTTCCTAGAACCCCCCAATGTAATGAACTTTCATAGTACTGCTCTTAGGGAGGGCAGGAACGTGTGCATGGAGTGGCAGCAGCCTAACACAGAGAGCTTGGATCTGGCCTGCAAAGGGGTGCACGTTTTTGGGTGACGGAGAGCAAGGAGGAATGCAGCAGGTAGGAGCCAGCATGTACAGGCAGGAGTGCGGGTGGGTGTTTCTCCAGCACACACGTTGTGTTCAGCAGTCCCCCAGCCCTCCTGCTGGAGAAGAGAGGCAGCAATTAGGCTGATTGAAGGCCCAGTTGCTTCTTGCACAAGGAGGAGGCAGTGCCCCTTGCAGCTGCGATTCAAAGCTTGCAGGAGATAAAGATCTGCCATGCCAAGCACTTGGGAAGTGCTGGGGGAATCCAAGGACAGCTCTGGCCACGCCACCCTGCTTCACCTCTATCCTCTTCCCAGCTGGCATCTGGCTTAAAAGCCTTCCTGAGCCCAGAGCAGCACAAAGGGAGTTTCCTCCCCACTCTTCCATGCAATCCCCATGTAATTACTTGGGAGCTCACACAATTTTGTGTCAGCTTTGCTTGCTTACCAGCCTGTTTGTGCAAGCTACAACTCCTCAGCCTCCATGGAGACTCGTCTTTGCCTTCCTTGGTCATAGGGAGCAGAGTTAAAAACCCAGCTGATTTGATGTGACCAGGTGAGGTGTGTGTAGTGTGCCCTCTGGGTGTATTTCAGGGTGTCCACTCAAGGTTAGGCCATGCTCTACTGGATATAAAATCAGAGAATGGTTTGGGTTGCAAGGGGCCTTCAAGATCATAATTCCAGCTGCCCCACCATGGGCAGGGAAACTTTCCCCTAGATCAGGCTGTTCCAAGCCCCATCCAAGCTGGCCTTGAACACTTCCAGGGATGGGGCAGCCACAGCTTCCCTGGGCAACCTGTGCCAGGGCCTCACCATCCTCACAGGCAAGAATTTCTTCTGTGTACCTAATCTAAACCCACCCTCTTCAGTTTGAAGCCATTCTCTGTTGTCCTGTCATCCCAAGCCCTTGCAAATTCTCCCTCCAGTTCTCTTGTAGCTCTGGAAGGTGTTCTAAGGCCTTCCTGAAGCTCTCTCTTCTCCAGCCGGAACGAACTCCCCCATCCACTTCCACCCTTGGCCAGAGTTCAGCTCTGCCTTTGCCTCCCACATCCTGATAATTCCCATTAGCAGCACCAGGCACACAGGGATGTACAAAACAGTGAACGCTTTTTATTTCGCTGCTGGAGTGCAACCACTGTAATTTCATAAAACTCAAAAAAACAACAAAAAAAAGTGATTACCGAAGGCATACATTTTTTTTTTCCTTTTTACACAAGACATTAAGTAAACAGACATGTTTCTTTTTAAAAAGGTTATAAAGTGTCAAGATCCTATACCTCATCTGCATATTCAAAGTGATGCCATCTGATACAAAAAGCATTGGGTACAATAATTTAGCTATGGCTCAGACCAAAAAAAAAAAAAACAAACCAAAAAAACCCAAAAAACAAAACAAAACCAAAAAAAAAAAAACCCAACAAAAAAAAGTCATCTGGGCTTAATCTACACACTACTATGGTTGCCCAGGGGGTTAAAAAGGAAAATATGCAGCTCTTTGTTGCACAGAAAGGAACAGCAGGGAAGTGGAGAGTTCATTGGGAGATCATAGTCTGAAGGGAAGCAGCGGAACGCCCCCTCCCCGGGAATGTCTGCAAGAGCCCGGCCCAGGAGTCCCCCTCTGTGCCAAGAAACCAGCCACATTTGTCTCCCACCAGACAGAATCCCATCCAAACCCACCCGCCAAGCTGCACCTACCCCGCGTGCTGGCAGCAAATAAGATACAAGACCTTGGAAACTGCATGGAAGTCACGAATCTCCCTGTGTGCTTTCCCACTGGGACTAATAAAAACCAAACAAACCCAAGGAAAAAAATAAAAAAGGAAACGACTCGTTCTATTGTGGGTAGAGCCAGACTCTGCTTTCTCGGGAAATCTGTTCCACATAAACCTCTGAAGCTCCCAGCCCAAGCACCACAGCGTCAGCCTTACTGCAAGACTTGTAATATGAATTTACAAATGCAGTCTTTACGTGTGTGTCACCAGAACTTTCTGAAATTAAGAGCTGGACATTTGTGATGGCCACATTTCCTGCCTTCCCACCATCCCACCCCCTCCACGTGCTCCATCTGACTGGAAAACAAACAGCAGAAGGGATATTTGAGGGCATATGTGTGTTGTGTGTCCCTGGTGAGAGGACACAGCTACAAGTTGCCGCTCAGATTTATTCCCTCACACGAGGCTCAGACATCACTGACTCCTGGGTAAAGGCTCTTGGTTTGATGGTTGGGGCACCTCTGCTTTGCCATCCCTTGGGTCTCCTAAGTTCTCGCACCAGTTTGGAGCCTTGTCCCTGCAAATTGTGGTGGCTTTCCATGGAGGGTGAGGGGGTGGGTAGGGGCGAGAAATTATTAAAACCCAGTTTGAGCCTTTGCTTCTGGAGAAAAGGGCAGGATGAGGTGGCTGGTTTGTAGCCAAAGCCATGGGGTGTCTGTTCCCTGTGACATCTGCCAGGACTCGACGGAAACAACAGGAGCAGCGGCACCATTGGCAAATACATCAGATTTTTAAGGGTCTCCTTTCAGCATCTTGGCTTTTGAGGTGAAATGAGGATTAGTGTACAAGGAGAGAACCCAAGACCAGCCCAAACCATGAGCCATTGGCTGCTCAGGCCTTGCTCTGGTGTTGTCTACTGGGTTTCAACCTTCCCCCTTGCCTAACTGTCAAGACTTTTGAGCTATTTGAGATTTCTAACCCAAATCCCCCTCGGAAGACCCCTCAATTTCCCCAGTCTGTTGCTTCTGTAACCTTCTCTAGGATGAAACATCAAGGAGCTGGTACCTCAGAGAAAGGAATCCAAGTCGATATTAAAAAAATCCCAAATATTTGGCAGTCCAACCCAGAGACACTGCTGAATTTAGCCCTTCATGCAAAACAGCAGCTCCTGGGCTGCCAAGGTATCCTTTCCATGGAAGCAGCACATTTTAGGGTCAAGGGGGAGACATCCATGGAAAAAAAAAAAGGAAAAATATCTAGGACAATTAAATCAGCATGATTTGGTTTTTTTTTTTTTTCAGTAACTCATAAACTGAGGAAGATCAAGATGCCACTCTGCCAGCCAGATGCCCTCAGGATTTGGCCACATGGCCAGATCAAGGACTGCTTTTATACCAGGAGCTCCCTAATTTTAAGGTGATTGGGTTGATGCTACATAAAGCAAAGCCTGTCCCCCTCATGTTTCCCCAGGCCAGCCCCCCAAGCTGAGGTCCAAGTGAAGTCTTGCTCAAGAGTGGCCAAAGGAGGCTGAATTCAAATTCCTCTGTCCCCAGCCTGAGTCCAGCTCAAAGGCATCGTGGCTGAATCCCAGGACCTCTTGGCCTGGGCAACGTTCCAGGTGATGCTGCCATGAGCATGGGTGAGGAAAACTCATCCTGGCAGGACAGAAACGTCTCCAGGCCCATAAAGCAACAGTTCCCACAAGGAAGGGCATGGGACTGGGAGGTTTCCTGGCTAGCAGGGACTGGGGCTGTCACCACCACAATGCCAAGCCATCTCCTATGTCCCTGGGGAAGAAGCAGCACCTATTTTAGCAGCAGGAGGACAGACCCAAGCAAGAAGGGGATGGTGACCCACCCAGCAGGGTGCTCTAATACAGGGTCAGGCTTTTTTATCAGTCCAATCCACACTATTCCAAATCAACACAGACAGACCCTTTGACCATTGCTGCCTTCTCCACGAGTCATGGGAACCAACAGCCTGGGATAGAGCAGGAGAAACTCAAAGGATTGAGGGCTGTCCCACAATGTTGGACAGGCCCAAAGTGTGTGGTATGACAACTCCAGGGCCACATGTGGAGGGTCCCCACCTCACTCAGCACCACAGCTTATCCCACAGGATGGCCTTCCCTACCCTGCAGTGGGGTTGGCCCCTATCAGGACAGGTGAAGCAGTGCTGGAAACAGCTCCAAACACCTCTGCTGCTCACCCATGTGGTGGTACAAAGCAGGCCCCAGCCTTCTGCAGGAACTGAAGGTGTCTAAGCAGCCTTCCTCAGCACCTGTCCCAAGAGATGAATGCCCTGAAGCAAATGTCTCTGGACAGCAATGTTTTGGAAGGCACACAACCCTCTGGAGAGACCCAGCTCAGGGTCAAGAGGACACTGAGGGCATCTCAAGGTGCTCAGCCCAAAACCCCAAGAGGTGGATGATCAGCCCTCCTTGTCCCAACAAGTGTGATCCTCTGCAGCTGAGGTGTGAGTAGCAGTGAGCCAAAGGAGCCCTGGAGCATCCCCTGGGCCACATGTATATTCTGGTGATAGTGGATGGCAGCCAGCTGTGACACAGTGCTGGGGATCAGTCTGGGGGACCATGGGTCACCTCCTGGGCTCTACTGGGCAGTGACAAGAGAAAGAAAGGCCAGAGGATGTGCGGAAGACAAACAGGGTATTTTTTTAAAGTTTTTTTTTCCTTTAATTAGCAAATTTCTTGTTATCCTCATTAAAAGAAAAAAATCACCCCCATACCCCCTACGTGGCCACTGCTCCAGCTGTTGCAAGCGTTCAAAGGCAGAAAGTTGAGAGATGTTTAATGTCCCAGCTCAGGGGCAGCTCTGAGCCCAGCCCACCTGGGTGTGTGCTGGGGGTGCCAGGCGCCTTGGTACAGACATGGAAAAGGCAGGTGCAAAATCAGGTGATGTGCTCTTGCCAGGAACACCCAAAATCCCCTAGGAGAGCTGCAGCCCAGCCCCTTGGCCAGCAAATGCAGTGGAGGACATGGATGTGCCTTGAGAGGCACACTGTGTCCCCAGGGCACTGCAGCCAGAATTAGGGTTTGTGCCACAGCTCAGGGGTGGGGACAGGACCGCAGAGAACCCACCACCCTGGGCACTGAATTTGGAAGCTATAAATAAGAGCACCCCACACTTTGGGGGACCCAGTGCTGATCCAGCACCCCAGCAAAGCTGAGTGCCTCAAAGCCCTGCTGTGGTCCCCGAGGCTCTCAACAGCTCTGCCTTCACTGGAGCTGGAACTCCATCTGCAGCATCCTGGCTGGCACTGAGGCAACGGGGAGGTGGTGAGCTGACAGAGGGGCCAGGAGAAAGGGAATAGTGCTGGGGGTCTTAGCTCAGCCCCTCCTCTGGTCACAAGGTCACTGAGCTTAGAGCCCCTGTCACCTCTTCCTGCTATCACCACCGTCCCCCCCGAGGCCACTGTGCCATCCCCACCTCCATCCCTGCTGCTGCAGCCCTTAATTTATGGGGAAGAGGTGGGGAAAGGTTTTTCCGGGGGTGCTCTGGCACTTCTGCACCCCATCCCTTCTCAGCTGGCAGAGCCCTGCCTGCATCACCCCAAACCAAGCACCCTTTGCCCACCCCTCTCAGTGCAATGGGAGGGGAAAGGGGGAGGGAGGATGGTGATGAAGAATGGTCACACAAGCTGATTGCCTGCTAACACCAAGAGTCTCAGGGCAGTGCTGCCTTCCCTCCTTGGGGCTGCAGCTGGAGAGAGCAGCCTTTTCTGGGGATCCAGCAAGATGAGTGTGCTGTGAGTGCTGGAACACACTGGAGATGCTCCACGTCCCCAGCCCAGCCCTGGCAGAGGGGCAGCACATGGGGAGTGCAGGGCTGGGCCAGGAGGTGAGGGGGTGGGATGTGTGCGAGTGCCTGGGGGTCTGTGCACGGATTTTGGCAAGAGGTCATTGAGGTTACATGATGCAGCATTTGTTCTTGTGGTTATGAGGGTCCTTAAATCGGAGTCTCTGCTTTGGTCGGTATTTTTCCAAGTAGGTCAGCTGCTTGCTGTTGATGGCTCCTCTGCGCTTCCTGCGGGGACAGAGAAATGCCAGAACAGTCAGAGGTGTGGCATGAGATCCTCCCCACCCCAAACCACTCTTGTTGGGGGGCTGAGCCCCTCTGCCTGGAGCAGGAAGGCATTTTGGAGGCTGAAGCCAGGTGCACCCTCCAGGGAATAGAGACAGGCACTGACCCCAGCAGCTTTCCTTGCTGCTCATGCACCCTTTGACTCCCAGGACACGGAGGGCTGGGGAGGAAACATGTGGGGCAGAGGTGGGGTGACTGCCAAAAGCCCCTCAGGGATGCTCCATGCCAATGCCTTGTTTTCCCACTCCCAAAGAGAAAAGAAACCCCAGTGTCACCAAAACAACCAAACCCTGGGACGTGCCAGATGTCTCCATTCCCTAAGGGAGGGACTTTCTGCCCTAACACCACAACACTGCTCCACTTACTGTCGGATGAACTGGATGGCATCTTCATACTTCATCCCACTCTCGATCAAGGCCAGCGCGACAAGGACGGGAGCGCTGAAAGGCAGAAGCAGTGGCTGTCACTCCCCAGTCACACAGCCCAGAGGCTGATATCCACCATTTAAAGTTCAAGGAGAAGCTCAGGTAGCAGATCTCCCCCATCAACACCTACTCTCCCACTAAAGTTTCACAAAACCCTGCTCAAAGAGGGACTGGGAAAAGCAAGGAGGAGTATCGGCATGGTTGTCCCTCTTCTGCCTTCGTGGGGAGGTGGCAGCTGGGACAAAACCCTGCTTAGAGTGGGGCTGGGGAAGGGAAAGAGGAGAGCTGGCATGGTTTTCCCTCTCCTGCATTCATGAGGGGTGGCAGCTGAGGTGCTGGGCTCGGACTCACCGCCCCAGGCCGGCCACGCAGTGCACGGCCACGCAGCAACCGGGGTCCTCACAGAACTTGGTCTTCAGCAAGTTGAGCCAATCTTCCACAATCTTGCTGGGAGGAGGTGCTCCATCATCAAATGGCCAATCCTGCAAGGTTGGGAAGAGAGAAATGCTGTCAAGTGTCTGGGGAAAACCTTTCAGGGGTAGTTTTTCACTCCGGGTGATGGTGTTTGGGGCCTCAGCTGCAGGGAGGTAGAAGAGTGCCAGATCTGGGCTCACAGCATAGCTCTGTGGGGATACAGGTGGTTTTGTGGCATCATGTGGCAAACAGGAATTCCCTGGCTGCTTTGGCTCAGGGTTGAAGACATACAAATCTAGGTCTGGAGTCCTTCTACCTCCTATGCACACGTTCAGCCTACAGGAGCACCTGTAGGATCTGCAACATGGTCCCCATGACCTCCTGCTTCTGCAGACCAGGATGGCCACCCCATGCTGCATCCCCATCCAGATGACCTCACTGAGCCTGGGGTGATGCAGTTCCCATCCTCCCCCCTGCCAGCTCCTAATTCCAGCACTTGGGAGCACACTGTAGGGGATTTGAGCAAAGGTGGCTTGAAGATGGTTGAAATCTCAGAGGTTGATGCGGTGCTGAAATTCAGCTTCCTGCAACACATGGAGGGAAGACCAAAAGAATGGTCTGGGGATCCACTAACACAGCCCTAGAGAGAGTCCAAGGGAGTGAGATCACTCCAAATGGGGCCATTTAAATACCACCCTTCAGGAAAGGCTATTAAGGGACAAAGAAAAACATCCCATCTTCTGAGCTTCATCCTCAAGTTGCAGGGGTTCAAAATTGGAGCATGGTGAGGAAGTTGGTGAAATGGATTCTGCGTTTGATACCCCTCAGCCCTGGGCTCAGTTATGAGGGGTAAGTGTCCCAAAATGGGGATTTCTTTCCCAAAACAGATTTGACAAGAAGGGCAGCATCACTTGGAGAGGATGTGGCTTAGTGAACCATGAAGGGTGGGGGGCACTGGGCCCTAATCCTAGATTTTGAGAAGTGAGTCACTAAGCTGCTGTGCTGGAGTCACCCTTGGTGTGAGATGGCAAAATAAGCTGCTTCACTTCAGTGTTTGAACAGGTGGTGTGATTTCTGTAGCGATTTGATAGCAAAGGAGCACACTGGGCTTCAGGGTATTTGTAGTGTTTGAGCCAGACTCCCTGGCTGGCCTGTGCCTGTCCTGCAAGGCCATCTCCTCCTGCAAGGCCATATCCTTCCTACAGCCATGAGTGCAGGTCAGGGGCTCACACCAGGGATGACGCAGCACCCTACAGAATCATCCCATGATGGAATGGCTTGGGATGGAAGGCACCTTCAAATATCATCTAGTCCAACCCTCTGCCACGGCAGGGACACCTTCCATTATCCCAGGTTGCTGTAACCTGGCCATGAACACTTCCAGAGATAGGGCAGCCTCAGTTTCTCTGGGCAACCTGTGCCAGTGTCTCACCACTCTCATGATAAAAAACTTTTTTCCTTATGTCTCATCCAAATCTGCCCTCTGTCATTTTAAAGACATTCCCCCTTGGTCTATCACTACATGCCTGTGTAAACAGTCCAGCTCTCCTGCAGCCCCTTTAGGGACTGGAAGGGGCTTTAAGGTCTCCCCAGAGCCTTCACTTCTCCATATATAGACCTAGATATGGTCTATATATAGAAGCATAGAATTGTTTAGGTTGGAAAAGCCCTCCAAGATCGTCAAGTCCACCTGTTAACCCAGCACTGACAAGGCCACCACTAAACCATGTCTCCAAGTGCCACATCCACAGCTCTTTTAAACCCCTCCAGGGATGGTGACTCTACCACTTTCCTGGGCAAGCTGCTTCAATGCTTGACAACTCTTTCAGGGAATAAATTTTTCCTAATATCCAATCTAAATCTCCGCTAGAGCAACTGAAGGTCATTCCCTCCTGTCCTGTTGCTTGTTACCTGTGAGAAGAGACCAACCCCCACCTGGCTACAACCTCCTTTCAGAGAGTTGTAGAGAGGAAAAGATCTTCCCCAAGCCTTCTTTTCTCAAGGCTAAACACCCTCAGCTGCTCCTCATCAGACTTGTGCACCAAGATATATTTATATGCCAGATATATCTATGAGGATACAGATAAAAATATACCAAACTGTGTATATCAAATAAAAATATATACCATGATATCTCAAAAATATATAGAGAGATTTGATACAATTATAGAGATATTTCTGTATCTGCAGAGATACATCTAGCTATAAAAACCAGGTTATAGATATCTCTTGATTTACCTTATATAGTTTCTGTATGGTTATAGAAATGTTGATATAGAAGCTATTTAGTTTCTATACAGTATCTTGCATAGTTTCTCTAACTCTCTATATAAAACATATCCTAGATATGTATCTCTCCACATAAGAGAGATATAAGAGATGTAGAGGTATGTATATCCTAGATATAGAAACTCAGACTGGAGGCTCCAGTTAGAAATGGGGTAAAATGCAGAATTTGGTGTGTAATTGAGCAGATATGATCTCAAACATACAAATTCTATATATGCAGGATACAGTGATCTTTCCAAGATATATCCACTACAGACACAGATTGCATCTATATCTAGAGACATCTGTATCTAGAGAGCCACAGGATTATCCACCCATATCCCTGAGGATCTAAGATAGAGCCTCCTCTCTCTCTAGGATATACAATATACAGACAGAGCTATATAAAGAGGTCCTACACACAGAGGACCACCCCAGGAGACACAAGGCATTTCCAAACCCTTCCCTAAATAACGAGCAGAGCCTCACTTCCCAGCTGGAGCTGAACTCCCTGGCAGGGCTATCATGCCTGACATCATCTCCAATTACCTATCAGCCAAGATACAGCCCAGGCAGCTGCATGCTCTGCCTTTCCCAGCTTGCTGCCTGCTCCCTTTCATCCCCCTCAGCTGCACCAGCCAGCTGCTGGAACAGCAAAAAACCCTCACACCACCCCCCAGGATAAGATAACGCCGGGGGTAATGGGAACCACGCGCATCTTCCCCGTGGGATCAGGCGCTCTCATCCCTGGATGCTTCAGAGCAACAGGCAGGGAAGGCAGCTGCCGACTCAGCCGGGTGAGTCACAGTTTCGGCTGCGTGGGCAGCACGTCTCTTTTTAAAGCACCAGCCTCAGCTCAGCTCAGCTGGGCTTCCAGCTCTGCTCCTGCCTCAGGGTGATGCTGTGCTGGGCTGTTTAACAGCCCCAAGGGATGAGATTTTTAAGGGTGGTGTTGGGGCAGCACCCCCGGTGCCCATCCTGCTGCCCACCTACCATGACAGTGATGCCGTCCTTCTCCAGGGGGGTCTTGTCATAGGTCACTTCACACACTCGCACGACCGTGGTGGCACCGTACTTCTTCAGGTCCTGGGGAGGGAAGGAGAAGGAGGGGTCTGAACAGATCCTGCCAGATGCACCCCAGTTAACCTTGACACATCCAAGCCCTGCTATGACCATGTGGAGCAGTATGGACCCTTCAACAGTGCTGTGCCCCTTCTCTGAACCCTTGACCTATGATCCATCCAGCCTGGCAGGCACAAGGAAACATGAAATCCCAGGGCACCAAAGCCACGTGGCCTTGTAGGATTTTTAACCAGCATCTTCATGACTCCTCAGAGTCACGAGTACCAATGGGGCCATTTATTTTTAAGCCCTGACAGCCTCATCAGCAGGGATTTTATACCTCAGGCAAAGAAACAACCCTGACATGGGTGCCAGTCCTCTGAAGGAGAAATTGTTTGTGCCTGCTGAGGTCACACTCCTGATGCAGAAATGCATGGAGGCAGCTGTGGGGGAGTCGTAGCATGCCCTAGCAGCCGAGCTCAGCATCTCACAGATGGCTCAGGGGCTCCTTCTCCACCTCGCTGCCGTATCCCATCATCACTCCAACACGCTGCAGGCTCAGGCGTGGGACTTGGGATGCTTCCAGCATGGCTCACTGCCCGGCGCGAGGATTGCCCCCGGATTACGTGCCCGGTGCGCCGGCCTCGCCGGGAACCATGAGATCATCCCCAATGATCCACCTCCTTTGTTCCCCATGTGCGCTCACCAGACCGTGGTGAGCCCCACATGCTCAGCAGCCCGGCCAAAAGTCTAAGAGACCAGAGGAAAGGGGAATTTTTCTCCCTTTCCATTGGTGTGGTCCCCATTGCCCTCTGCAGCGAGCATGGGGTGGCTGTCCCCATATCACAGCCACCTGCCTGTCACCCTGAGGCAGTGGCACTCACACAGCTGCTACCAGTGCTGCCTCTTCAACACCAAGCTCTCCAGCACTACTCAACACACTCTAGGAGCTGGAAATACGCTGGGATATTTGGGATCAAACGCCATTATTAAGGTGCTGGGACAGAAAGAGAAGGTTTTGTGCACCCCCGTGTATTGCTCCAAAACTCTGTGACATGATGTGCTACTGGATCTGGCAGGGGATGCAACAGGAATGAGGAAACTCTGCTCCATCTCTACTGTGCCCAAACATCACACTTGGGGTCCTGAAAAACATCCCATCCCAAAAACCTGGCAATGATGGGACCCACTGCCCCAGGATGCCACCAGGGGCTGTGCTACCAAAGGGGATGTGCTGCCCTCTCATCAACATCAGCTTTTAGCCCCCAAAAAATGCAACTGGACTTTGGTCCCTATCTTCCAAACTCTCCTCCTTACCTCCAAAAAGGTGTTGAGCGTGGCATTGGTGGGATTGTGGGTGATGAGGAACCTCATGTTTTTGTAGCAGACCTCCACGGGTGCAGGGCGGTTCATCCGGGCCATGGTGGGGACAGTGGGAAGGTGAGGTGGTGCTGACAGTGGCAGGGTTAAAAACCCAAGAAAAGAGTGGTGTGGAGGGGCAAAAAAAAAAACAAAAACAAAAACAAAAACCCAACAACCCCTCTACGCTTCAAAAATAAAAATAAAACAGGACTGAAAACTCAATATACAGACGTTGTGCAAATAATCCCAACTCCTGGGAGCGCACCGGCTTCCTTGACACACCACAAGCCTCCCAGGGGGAAAAAAAAAAAGCCAGATGGGGGAAAAAAAATAATATTAATGAAATAATAATAATAATAATAATAATTAAAAAAAAAATCCCTTTGCTGTAGTGTTGGCGTCCTCTGCGTGTGTGCGACGACGAGCGGCCGCTGCCTCCGGTGCCGCGCGCTCCCGGGCGCTCTAGAAAGGCCTCTGCATATGGGGGGTGGTGGTGGCGGGAGGGTGGCCCCCGTCACGTTACCCCATCGGGGTATGTGGAGTACTTGGGGGCGGCACGGGGGGCCGGGAGCCTACGGGGCGGCGTCGGCGGCGTCCGGCAGCGGTGCCTCGCTGGGGCGATCCATGCACGGGAGCCTTGAATGGTTGGGTCGGAGGGTCGGGGTGCTGGGCAGGACGAGGAGAGGCGGCCGGGGGCTGCTTCACAGGCCGGGCTGCCGGGGGCTGCGGGGCTCACAGCTGCTCCTCAGCACCTCCATAAATCCCAGCGCAGAGCGAGGCTGCAGGGGAGAGGAAGGGAAACGCGGTGGTGAGAGTGTCCTCCTCCCCAAGGAAGCCCCTGAAGGCACCATCACTTTCTACATCCCCTGTGAGCATCCCATTCACATCTTAACACAAATTAGAAAGTGAGGTGGTATTTAAAGCTAAAGCTGAAATATCATCTAGAATAGCACTGGAAAGGCAGAGGGGATAAATCACATTTCACCTGCAGAACGGAAAGCACATGGCAGGGAAGGCCTTGCTCCCATATACCACCCAACACCTGCACCTGCTGGTGGATTTAAGCACCCAATTCACTCCAGCTGACCCCCTTGACACCCATCCAGACTCCCCAGACCTCACCTTTGTGTCCCCAAAAAGCACGTTGAATTCCTCCACCCCAAATGCACGCTGTGCCCAAAACCAGCTGCCGCTGCCGCTAATCGGCCACATGCTCCTGGCGCTGGGCTCATGTCCACTAAATGCACCTCTAATGCTCTTAGGAGAATTAAGCCGCCTGCAAATGAGCTATCTTGGGGAGGGGGGGCTGAGGAGGGGGTTGCGTGTGTGTGGTTTTGCCAGGGTTAGTGATGGATGTGTCTCCCTGCCTGCTCATCCACATTCCCACGCTGCCAGCACATCGCTCCCAGTAACGGAGCCTGGCTCCTCCACCCGTGGCATCTTTGCTTTCAAGGATGGCAGTGGGAAGAATTAAGAAAGAAAATCAACTCCCACTGTGGAAATACCCAAATCCATGAGATGATGGGCCCAGCAGGGAGGCAAGGGCTCTGCCAGCCCCACTCAGAGCCGAGGGAAACCCAGCCAGAGCCTCCCCAGATTGTTCCCCACTGGACTCTTGTTTTGAAGTTGGTCCTTCCCCCAGGTCAGAGGCTGCTTAGTGCCGGGTGGCCAGAGCCTCAAAATAGACCATAAGCACATAAGTAACCCGAGCCAGGCCAGCAGGCACCCCCTTGGCTCTCCTCACAGCAGCCAGAAACTTTTTCCTCTGGATTGTTTCACCCTTATGCAATGACACAAGGTGGGAGAAGGGAGATAAGCTGAGCAGCTCATAACTGCACCTGGGTGCTGACAATGGGTTTGTCCAGGCCTGAGCATCATTTTCAACATGTTTAACACCTCCTGCTTCTCCAGTGGTAACCAGGGATAAAAAAGTTAAATAGCAACAGGAAAAAAGCCAGGTAAGGTATCAGGGGAAGCAGAGCTGTTCCACTGAGTGTGCCCAGTTTGGCTGTTAAAATCACGAACTCTTCCCAACAACCATCTTCCATCACACCTGACTAATTTTTTTTGCCCATAAAGAAGGGGATAATGCTATTCCAGAGTCCTGCAAGGATGTTCTGCAAAGTTCAAACCCTGCCTGGGCTGCACGGGATGAGTGGGACATTCAGGGGGGATGACTTTCCAGTCCCCATTGAGAAATCAGATTTTAGCAGCTGATGGAGGCTGGGAGCTTGGCTGAGGCATGGCAGTGAGGTGGGAGCTGCATCTCCACAGCGTTTTAGGTGTGATTCAGAGCAGCTCAGCCCACAGATGATGCTGATCCTCCCCACCTGGACCACAGCAGCTGGAATTTTTGCTCAAAGCTTGCAATAATCCTGCAAGATGGGCCGGGAAACCTGCTTCCCCCACAGTGTTCACCGTGCTTTTTCAGTGATGATCCCATCTATCACTTTGTTTGTGAGGTCTGCTTCTTCCCAGGATGATCTCACCATGGCTGGGTAAGAACCAATTTGTTATTTCTGGAGGGTAATTCTGGGCTGGTTTTGGCTGTGTGGCTCCTACATGTCCAGCTGCCAATCTGCTGGCCAGCACAACCATGAAAAGGGATGGGAGGTGGGAGACATGGGCAGCCACAGTTGCCTGTTCAAAGGGAAGAGCTGATGCAAAGCAGGAATTGCCCCAAACCATCAGCTTGAAAGCCCAGTTTCTCTGAAACAAAGGACTTGAGGACATTTTGCTTTTACTTTTCATGCCTTTGCTCTTCAGGCTTCCAGTGTGTTTAATGCCATCTGTCCTAATGATTTGATCTGATCCTGATGATCGATCTGATTTGATGCACCAGCACCAGAGGTGCACAGGGGAAAGCATCAAAAAATGACTTTTCTCCCTTCAGACAACCTCATATCTCGTTTTAACCGGCTGCCAGGGACATCAATACGAACTGTGCCCATGTTTACCCATGTCCTGGATTAAATCCCACCTGCTGAGCAGCCCTGTGGGGCTGGGAGCTGCTGCCAGCACCAATGCCAGCGCTGCCCCTTGTCATCATCCAACACACAGTTCATGCTCCATCGGTGCTCTGGATCCTGGACAATTTTTTATTGGCTTGGGCGTGCTCGCTGCCAGTAACGGAGGCTCAGTGGGAACCGCCTGCCTACGAGAACAGCGAGTGCTCCTTTCCCACAAGGTCTCCTCTCCAGTGGAAGCGTTTCAAGTATTTTGGCAATCACACATCCCAGTAATTCAGTCCCGAAGCCCATAAATCCCTAATGGGTATTCAATCACAAATCATCCCCGGCGTTTCAGGCTACGATGCTGATCTCCATATTAAGCGTGGCAGGACAATGTGGAAAAGGGAATTTTAGCTAATATTAATAACCTGCCAAGTGGAATATAAATCCTTCTCATTTGAGCGCTCCGGGGGATCTAGAGGAAGCATGTGAGGACACAGTGAACAAGCCCTGGATGAGGATGCTCAGCAATGCAGTGCTGGCCTGTCAGACTCAAACCCATCTTGGGGAACCTCAATGAAAGGAGGTTGTAGCCAGGTGGGGGTTGGTCTCTTCTTCCACATAACAAAGGACAGAACAAGATGAAACAGCCTCAAGTCGTGCCAGGGGAGGTTTAGATTGGGTATAAGGAAAAATTTCTTCAGTAGAAGGGTGCTCAGACATTGGAGCAGGCTGCCCAGGGAAGTGGGGGCATCAGTATCCCTGGAAGTGTTCAAGAGGCATGGATGTGGCACATGGTTTAGTGGTGGACCTGGCAGTGTTAACAACTGATCTCAGAGATCTTTGCCAACTTTAATGATTATATGATTTTCTTTTCACCATGACTGTGGAAATTTCTGCTTCTTACACAGGAATTTTGCAGCTAAGAGCCCACTGAGGATCCAGTATGAACACACACCAGTGTGGCAAGAGAGCAATGAAGATTGCTGTTCTTGGGATGGGGATCACTGAGCCATCATCTCCTTGTCTTATACCCCCACAGCTGAGGGGATCACAGGGGTCTCCGAAATATTCCTTTGAAGTGTGGCAAGGCCATTACAAACATCTTAGCCTCATCCCAGATGTCCAGGGACTGAGCCTGCAACAGAGGAATGAGGCTGATCTTCCTCATGGCAATCAAGGCCATTACAAACATCTCAGCCTCATCCTAGATGTCCAGGGACTGAGCCTGCAACAGAGGAATCAAGTTCCTCATGGCAACTTGATGGACAACAAAGGTCAGATCTTTTTCACCCAGTGACTGGAAGAGCTTGGTTAGAGAGGCAAGCAGCTGCCTGACCTGATGGCTGTGCTGCTGGTACCCGGCTAGCGGGACACAGATGGTGGAGTCAGGTTTTCCTAAACACAGCACATCCCCAAGAGAAGGAAAAGGAAGCTTTGCAGAGCCAAAGCGTCGCTCCACACGAGTTTCAGCAGCGGGACTCGGAACAAAGGCTCTTACTCACCCAAACAATGTGTATCTCACTCGTATATAAATATAGAGATCTCAGAGTGAGCACATCTCCTGTTCAAAGTTCACCTTCAGAGAAATCCAACAAAACACCCAGCTGTGTCACACTTTCTCGACCTCTCTCCTGCTTTCAGCTCATGTAGCAAGACACCGACCAGCCCTTTCCCCTTAAGGCTGGTGAAGTCCTGCTCTGCACCACAACACTGCTGCTCCCAACAAGCACTTCCATCACCCTGAGAACTGAATCCAAGCTTCTGGGTATTTTCAGTTATCACCATGCAGAAGTTTCATCCATTGCCACTGACATGAGTGACTATGGAATCCAAGTTTCTGAGTTTTTTCAGTTATCACCATGCAGAAGTTTCTGCACACATCCATTGCCACTGACACGAGTGACCATGGGGAGCAGGTCTGTGAGGCTCAGCTGCACATGTAAGATCTGTACCAGCAGTACCACCACTGTCACCACTGCCACCAGCATGACCAGCACCACCAGCATCACCACTGCCACCACCATCACCGCAAGCAGAATCAGCAGCAACTCCACTGTCACCACTGCCAGCAACACCACCACAATGACCACTGCCATAAGCACCACCACTGCCACCAACACCACCATTGCCACCAGCATCAGCAGCACCACCATTCCAAGCATTGCCAGCAGTGTCACCACTGCCACCACTATGAGCAACACTACCACTGCCACCACTGGGTTCCACCAGCATGAACAGCACCATCAGTGCCACAAACACCACCACTTCCACCAGCTTGAGCAGCATCACCACTGCCACCATCGCCATCACTGCCAGGGAGAACAGGTCCCAGGACACAGAGAGCCACAGTGCTGTCCCCAGCCTGTGACTGCAGCTGGGACACAGCCAATGTGCTGAGACTTCCTCCAGTTGCATCCGCACGGAAGGAAACAGGAAAGGTCCGGGAGGAGAGCGACGGAAACAAAACACCCAGCAGGAGCTGGAATCTGTGGGGAGAGGTGTAAGCAGCCACTGGCACATCCTGCTCCAGGGCCAGAGCTGGACAGAGCAGATGGGATATCCTGGAAAAGCCATGCTGGGTACTGTGGTGCTGTGGGGTATCTGCTGCCAGGAGTGAAGCAGTGCCCAGCACCATCTGCCAGGGAACCATCGTGGGGCTTTTCCTCCAAGGGGTTATTTTTTAGGTTGTTTCTCTTGCTGCACGTGATGTTTTCTGAGCAAAACACAACAAGGAGGATTAAAAATGCACAGCTGTAGAGGGAGAGCAATGGGGGCTCTTGGCAGCCCATGAAAACACCTGCAAGATAAACCAGGTGATGCATCTT